ATTGTGAGATATAAATGGCGATAAGCGCATCCTTTTAAGGTTTGAAATTAATAATATAATTATATTTTAAAACACTAAGAGTAACGGAGAAGTTCAGTTTTCGTTTGACATTTATTTGTGTTCATTTGAAGGTTAACATTCTTTTGGTGTGCCTCATCCAACATCCCAAATGCTTTATATTTATATTGAATATAAAATATAGGTGGCGTCAGGCAAAACACATAAAGACTAGCTTTCATGATTAAAAATTGTCGATTCAGAATTCGATGGACATTCTTTTCAAAACATCTGCTAACCAACTTTTGGTATATCTTATGCCAAGTCATATTTCAATCACATTTAGACCCCATATATAGTTAATATTGAAAATATTACATGTGAAATATAGATGTCGCTGGGGGAGAAAAAGATTTCAAATTATAAATTTCAAATTATTACAGATAATCGTAATAAATAGAGTTGCTCGAAAAGTCGTATTTCCAATAACAACCATTTAAAGGCGATCTGTTGTTTAATAATTGTATAATAAATCATACTATGATGTTAAATAATACTTTATAAATAACGAGTCCTAATCGGAAATAAAGATGGCGCTAGATGAGGCACAAAAGCCTGAGAATTCAAGTATTTCAAAATGTAATCAATTTTTAATAATAATAACAAATAGCGGCGAAGGTTATGCTTCCCTATACAGTCATTTAAAACCCATTTGCAATTCGAAAAAAAACCTCCTTCAATATTTAATGTGAAACATAGATGGAGTTAAGAGATAATTACGAAGTTTTGTAACATCGTGAATTTAAAATACTCTACCCTATCCCTCAAGCCAGCTTCGTTTTGTGAAGTGTACATCTTTTCAGAAATTTTTTTACTACTGAATAATGCATCTTATGGAAAATCGCTCCTAAATAACATTATTAAAAATGAAATGTAGATGGCATTGAGTCATAAAATGGAGTTTTGTTCTGTTGAGAATGAATTTCAAATAAAATGCCTTATTGCATTAAACGGTTTACAATTTTTACATCAATATCAAATCAATACCTTCCCAGAAAATAGTTTGCTGTGACATTTTTATCTTACGAAAAATATTTTCCAGTTATTTGTGATACTAACAAATATTTTTAGTTGCCTTCCAAGTGTGTTAATTTGTTAATCACAATATATATAAAAATTAATTCCCAAATGGTTTTCTACGATATTTCCAAAACCAGGAAATAATTTAGTATCTGTCGTTCTAATGAGAGAGGGCGCTTAACGTGTGTGTGCGACAGAAAAACCAATAAGCCGGAATTAAAACCGCAATTGCACTGTGACGCATTCGATATACACCTCACATGTGTGTGTCAGTATATAGGTGAATGAAGTTTAAAAACATTTACTCGAAGTGAATCTCTTTAATGTGTGTCACTATGGCTAAAAAAAACAGTATTTTCTGAAAATAACATTTGGTTTTTTGTTGCTTATGGCATTTCAAATTGGAGATGCTTTTGTTTGATACGGAAAAAAGTGTATTTTTTATAAATATTCCAGGTTTTTTTCTCAGGTAAACCGCAAATAAAATTAACACATTAATACAGTTTGGTTTTGTGGCTTTTATTCGCGTTTAACAAATTGTTTTGGTTAAAATGATTGGTGACAGCCTTTTCGGCGTCTGTAATGAATCTGTTTCGCAACACAGGGGAACAAGTTAAAAAAAATATTTTTTTTATACCCTCCACCATAGTATGGACGCTACATTAAATTTGTCATTCCGTTTGTAACACTTCAAAATATACATTTAAACCCACACGAAGTATATATATTCTTGATCAGCATAAAATTCTATGTCGATTTAGCGATGTCCGTCCGTCCATCCGTCTGCGGAAATCACTCTAGCTTCCGAACGAATTAAGGAATGTTGATAAAATGTTACTCAAATCTATATTAGGTCTGCAGGACTTTTGGTATTGAAAATGGCCAATGTAGGTCCGCATGTTGGTATTGCCCCCATATAATGGTACCTCCCTATTTTCAGTACTTTGGTGATTTAAGCGACATTATTCACCAGGAATGTTTCAAATTTGTTATTTGAAGTTCGTAATTGATACTACAGCCTATGACAGAAAATTATCCGTGCAGATCCACGCCTTCGTATAGCCCCCATATTATGGTACCTTCCTATATTCGGTATCATTATTCACCGAATTTATTTTTCTAGTTTCGCATTTGAATATGGTAATGACTTATGACAAAAGTTACCTATACAGGTCCACGTCGTTGTATAGGCCCTAATATAAAGGCCACATTCGGCATTTTTAAGATATTTACATAATTTTTAACTTGTTTTTTTTTTTTTTTTTGATAATTGCCAAATTCGTTCCAATTGGTGGAGAGTATTCAAAGATCGGCCCAGCCGAATTTACAGCTTTTTTACTTGGTTACAATAGAAAATTCCTTTGGAGGGACTATATGAGATAAAATCGGTACTTTTTTAAAAAAAAAATATATATGTATCTTGGAGGTATATCAAGGCCATAATCGGAAATTTATAGGTTGTTTAAAATCAAGTTGTGAAATTTGATCTCTTTGAAATATTTGTTTTTTTAATATCTGTATAAAATTGAAAAATCTTAAATTTTTTTCTTTTGTTTGAAAATTGTAGAAAGTGAATATAATTCTCAATCACTTCAAAATAAGCGGTAATTCAACATCTTGATATCAAAAAAAATAAATATCCAAATGACCAAATACATGTTTCTTGGAGGTATATCAAGGCCATAATCGTAAATTTATAGGTTTTTTAAAATGAAGTTGTGAATTTTGATCTCTTTGAAATAAGTTTTTTAATATTTTTATAAAATTGAAAAATCTTCATTTTTTTTTTTTTGAAAATTGTAGAAAGTGAATATAATTCTCAATTACTTGAAAATAGGCGACATTTAAAAAAATTAATAAATATGCAAATGACCATTCTCTTTGCCAGGATGAAATCAAAATATTGGTAGGGATCGCCAAATATTTCAAAGGTGAAGAGAGAAATATGAATTTAAGCCAAGGGAAGGTTTAATACTACAGATTCAAGCAATCTACCGATTGAATCTTCGGCAATAGCAAACGGAATTTTGTTAATCACTCAGTCATATGGCTACAGAGAGAGTATATCGCTTGATACGGTGTCTATGGACCAAATCAGTTTAAGGATATTTGGAGTCGATCTAGCGGTGTCCGTCCGTCTGTCTTGCGGGCTGGTGCTCACGGTAATTCTTCGATTTGATCCAAACTTGGTACATCGTAATATTATTATCAAACATAGATCGAGTTAGGAGATGGGCAATATCGGTCCACTCCTTATGGTACCTCCCCTACAAAAGGTTAACATTTTCATAGAAAATAATTTGCCTATAGATCAAGTAGGAGTCATCCAATTTCGTACAAACTAGGCAAATCCTAAAATTTTTATTAGCGCTAGGTGAGGTGGGAAAACGGGCAATTTCGGCTCACTCCATCATATACCTCAGCTACAAAGGTGTCAAAATATTGAATAATTATAACTCCTATAAAATGTTCTAATATGAGTTGGATTGACTTCAAATTTCACAAATTTCTATATTTTTATTAACACAAGATCTGGTGTGAAGATGAGTTAAATTGGACCACTTCTTCTGGTACCTCCCACCTCACCAGGGGGTAAACATTTTGAATAATTATAACTCTTATAAAATGAGAAATATGTGTCCGATTCTTCTCAAATTTTACACATTCAAATATGTTTATTTACACAAGATCTGATGTGAATATGGGTTAAATTGGACCACTCCTTCTGGTACCTCTCCCACAAAGGGGTTACAATTTTGAATAACCAAAACGCTCATAAAATACTAACTATGTACCCGATTCTCCTCAAATCACAACATCTGTTGTGAAGATGGGTTAGATCGGACCACTCCTTTTGGAACCTCCCTCACAAAGGGGTCCAAATTTTTGAATAATTATAACTCTCATAGAGAGCGAAATATGCCTCTAATTCTCTTGAAATTCCATAGATCCTAATATTTCTACTAGTACAAGATCTGTGGTGAAGTTGCGTTAAATCTTGTACCTCCCCCATTAAGGGGTCAACATTTTTAAAAACCAAAACGCTCATAAAAGGCAGATTATTTTATTATTATTTTAAGCCTCCGATTATCTAAAAATTTTATACATCCTAATATTTCTATTAACACAAGATCTGATGTGGAGGTGAGTTAAATTAGAACACTAATTCTAGAACCTCTCCCACAAAAGTGTTAACATTTTAAACAACCAAACCGCAAAACTCACAAAACTCGAAATAACTATCCGATTATCTTAAAATTTCACACATCGCAATATTTCCATTAACACAAGATCTGCTGCTCCTTCTGGTACCTCCCCCACAAAGGGATCAAAATTTTGAATAATTACAACTTTCATAAAATGCGAATAAGTAAAATCCTCTTCAAATTTCACACATTCTACATTTTATTGAACAACTTCTTCTATACCCTCCCCCAATTAAGGGGGTCAAATTTTTTAAAAACCAAAACGCTCACGAATCTCGAAATGAGCGTGCGATTCTGTAAAAATTTAACACATCCTGATATTTCTATTAACATACAATCTGGTGTGAAAATGGGATAAATTTGACTACTTCTTCTTATACCTCCCCCACAAAGGAGCTCCAATTCGAAATAACCAAAATTATCACAAAATTCTAAATAAGTATCCGATTTTCTTAAAATTTCACACATATTGGCTACGGCTATACATGTGTCGGCAAAATCGACTGATATTTTTTTTTTTCAACTTGTTTTATATTCATTTTGTGTGTCTCAAATTGAGTAATTACCTCAAATTCTGACAGATGTTTACTTTTTTCACCTCATCTCCCAGTTTTTTTTTTTCTTTTTTCCCTCTCAATTAAGTCGTTAATTTGTTTTTCACTTTTTTTCATTTTATTTATTTATTTATTTTTTGTAAATTCTTATTGTTACACTTACATTTTGAGAAGCTTACGCCCCAAGCAGGTTGTTGTGTCATTTTGATGGAGCTGCTTAAACGGATTGCCTGCTGCCGATTGAATTAATTTCCAATAAAATTTGCACTTAAGAAAATTTAAGAGGGGTTCTGTGGTGACAGGAAAATCAATTTCCTGATAATAAGAACGACTTTTTTCACAACACTTCCGCCTTGTACCTGTATTTTTTGCGCGATTTGAAAAACAAAAATCGAAAATTATAGACGGTCGAGAAGGCACTCTCACTGTTTTAACACAACTTTTTTTTATCGCATGCGATATTTTTTCTCTTGTGATTTTTCGTTTCAAGTCCTTTGGCGTGTGAATTTTTCCCGTTATATTTTCTTTTGATTTCTTTTCACTCGGAAAATATTTGAGAACACATTACACGAATTTTTCACACAGTTTGTTTTTTCTAATTCTCTCCCGATATTTTTTTTTCTTTGGAAACTCGACTGGCTAAACGTTAGATCGCAACGATCTGTGGATTTCGAAAAAACACGTTCGCGCCTTACGAACGTTAAATTTCAAATGAGAATCAATTTTTAAGCGACTTTAGTTTATATATGGAGATAAGGCCCGCCGTATTTATTGTTGGTACTCGTTTTGTTGGTTGGTTGGTCGCTTGGTCTGAGTTGGCTGGGTTGCTTTGCTTTTGGTTAGCCAGCCGCCGTTGTTGTTGTCGTCGTCGGTTGGCTGGGTTTATGACAGTTTATATTGAGCAGAGTTTATTTGTTGTTGTTGTTGGTTTTGTTACTCTGTCGTTTTTGTGTGTGTGTGTTTGTTTTTTTTTTTTTTTGAGTAGTTATGGCCAGGTTCAGCCAAAAGTGGTAAAGTAAAATAAAACACTATGGCCATGTAGTGGTTAAATGTTATCCATCACACACATATATACACACACACTAACAAAACTTCATTCATATCCACCCAGGCTATTATAAAAATTGTTCTTTTTTCTTTTCGATTCGATTTTAAAATCTACTGTTAAGGTTAACAAGGCGGCTAACATCACTCACATCACCCTCACATTTTTCCCTTTTTCTCACTCTCTCCCTCACACACACACACACATCATTACAGAAAATTTCAACTCCCATCAATGAGACCAGAAAACCAAAGGTAACATTTTGTTGGCCATTAGTTTTATTGTTTTAGCCGATATTTTTTTATTCATTCTTATTTTTTAAATACCGATAAATTCCTTTTGGGTTACACAAAAGATTATGGGTGTTGAGGGTGTTGTTGTTGTGGTTTTTTATGGCCGACGGTCTCGGGCTGTTCTTAATGGTCTTGGGGGACAAGTGTTATCGGCATAAATTACCTAAAACATACCTTAGTTTTTTTTCTAATTTTGAATACTGATATTACTAATTGTAGACAAATTGACTAAAAACTGAAAGAGAATTAGTTTTCCACTTTCGATATGGTTTGGAATTTAAAACAGAATTTATTTATAATCAGAACTTTGGATAAGGAAAAGTAGTAGAATGGATAAGGAAACATTTTTAGAGAACAGGTTTAAAGGACAAGTAAAAAAGCTGTAAGTTTGTCCGGGCCGAACTTTGAATACCCTCCACCATTTGGAAAGAATTTGGCAATTAAAAAAAAAATAATAATAAAATTCGTTAAAAATTCTGTTAAAATCTTTAAAATACCGAATGTAGCCATTATATTAGGGTCTATACGACGACTTGGACTTGCATAGGCAACTTTTGTCATAAGCCATTACAATATTCAAATGCTAAACTTAAAAAAAATTCGGTGAATAATGTATATATGGGGGCTATACGAAGACATAGAACTGCACAGAAAATTATCTGTTATAGGCTGTAGTATCCATTACGAACTTCAAATACCAAATTTGAAACATTTCTGGTAAATAATGTCTCTGAAATCACCAAAATACCAACAATAGGGAAGTACCATTATATGGGGTCTACGCCAAAACGTGAACCTACATGACCCATTTTCAATACCAAAGGTCCTGCAGACCTAATATACATTTGAGTAAAATTTAATTTACGTACTTCATTTCAAAAAAATATCGGAAATAGCATCAAATTTATTTATTATTTGGGCAAAAAAAATTTATTTTTAAAAAATCCACGTTTATTATTTTCGTTGAAAAATAATTTTTAAAAAATCCACGTTTATTATTTTCGTTGAAAAATAATTTTTAAAAAATCTAAGTTTATTATTTTGATTGAAAAATAATTTTTAAAAAATCCACGTTTATTATTTTCGTAGAAAAATATTTTTTAAAAAATCCATTATTATTATGTTTGTTGAAAAATAATTTTTAAAAATCCATTATTATTATGTTTGTTGAAAAATAATTTTTAAAAAATCCACGTTTATTATTTTGATTGAAAAATATTTTTTTAAAAATCCACGTTTATTATTTTAGTTGGAAAATAATTTAAAAAGATCCGCGTTTATTATTTTAGTTGGAAAATAATTTAAAAAAATCCACGTTTATTATTTTCGTTGAAAAATAATTTTTAAAAAATCCACGTTTATTATTTTAGATGGATAATAATTTTTGAAAAATCCACATTTATTATTTTAGTTGGAAAATAATTCTTAAAAATTCCACGCTTATTATTTTTGTTGAAAAATAATTTAAAAAAATCCACGTTTATTATTTTGATTGAAAAATAATTTTTAAAAAATCCACGTTTATTATTTTTGTTGAAAAATAATTTTTAAATAATCTACGTTTATTATTTTCATTGAAAAATAATTTAAAAAAATCCACGTTTATTATTTTTGTTTAAAAATAATTTTTAAAAAAATTACGATTATTGTTTCCCTTGAAAAATAATTTTTAAAAAAATTATTGTCATAGAAAAATAATTTTTAAGAAATTCACATTTATTATTTGGCCACGAAAAATAATTTTTAAAAAATCCACGTTTATTATTTAGCTTGGATTTAAAAAAAAAAAAATCACGTTTATTTTTAGCTTTAAAAAACAATAGTCCAACGGATTGGTATCCGGAGATTTTGATGGCCATTGTGCGCTTGCAATAAAGCGAGGAACCTCATTTTGTAACCATTCTTGGATGACGGATGCTGAGTGCGATGGTGCTGAGTCCTGTTGGAATGTCCAAGGTCTGCGGCCAAAATGATTGTATGTCCAAGGCTTTAATACACCCTCCGGAATATTATATTCTGTAGATAATATTCGGAATTTATTCTGATGCCACGGTCGATTTATACGAGTGGAGAACGACCATTGTCTGTTATGGCGGCCCACACCATCACCATGACCGGCGCTTTAGTTCTGGTGGCCAATCGAAGGTGCACATTTTCAGCTGACCTCTTTGGGAAGTAAACACGATCATTTTGTTTGTTTACAAACTGCTGGACAACGAATGTTTTCTCATCGGAGAAAACCAAATTCGGCAGTTCACCACTTTTGGCCAAGCGAAGCAACTCCTAAGCTCTTTTGAATCTATTTTTTTTCTGTTGCGGTTTAAGTTCTTGCACTTTTTTGGAATTTCAATGGCTTTACCCTGAGCTCATTTTTTAATATTTGCCGAATAGAGTATTGCGATATGTTCAGCTCACAAGCCATTTTTCGGCCACTGCGAAGCGGGTTTCGATCAAGTCGCTTCTTTACTTTTCGAACCATTTCGACTGATGTTGCTTCGGTCCGCTCCTTGACTTCGGGATACGCAAGCAGTATCACGGTAACAAGCGATGCTACGAGACACAAAAGATTTATTCACATTTAAATGCTGGATTGCTCTAACGGTAGCCACTTGTGGTTTTCCAGCCAAATATAAAGAAATCACACTATCACGCTTGAATTCTATCACGAATAACTTTTTTTCTGGAAAAGTCTGACCAAAATGCTTTTGTGCGCTTGTAAACAATATAATGAGCTATCACTGGAATAATTTTAAAAGCTGTCGGACGAGTGGCTTAGAAATGACAGTAGTCTGAATTTGGTTGCAGTTTTTTCATCTCACCCTTCTTTATCGGCGTTCAATTTTATGTCGATTTAGCCATTTCTGTCCGTTCGTCTCTGGAAATAACTCTACGAGTCCGAACGTAATAATGTGGTAATGATTTGGTAAATTTAAGGTGTTTAGGTTGTTTTAGTCAATATATTAAACCATATTTGCTGTAAATTGGATGTTTGTGTCCTTGCAGACGGAGAACTGTCTGTATAGGTCTAAGTTTTGGTATAGTCCCAAATATTCGGTTTGTTTATGATTTGTATAAAACTTTTCACCGAAACTATTTGAAATGTGGTATTTGGAGTTCGTGATGGGTATGGTTTCAAATTAAGAATTTGGAAATGTTTTAAGTACCTTTCCCATTTTTTTCGCTATCTGTGAAATATTTTGGTGGCTAACCAAATCGTTTCAGATGTAAAAAAAGCGTCTTAACTGCATTTCTATTCTAAGAGGTCAGCAACGATAACAAAACACATGAGGGTCTTTCACAAAAAAATAAATTACACTGTGCAACATTTTAAGGTGCTATCGATATGGATCTTGTTAATTTTCAATTTTCGTTCAGCATACTTGAAACCGGGTTATTTTTAAAATGATATATTGCCTTAGCTTTTTTGTAGCTAAAAAGGAACCAACTATCATAAAATCAAAAAAATATATATATAAACAAATTTGTAGTAATTCTTATAAAGACTTTGTTTTCAGAAAAAATAGCCCTTATATTAGAACAATTCCTCATTTTGTCGAATTAGCCAATTTTGCAGATTTTTAGTGTTGTACAGTGTTAAAAACTGTTCTGATACTTTTTTTTACAAATATTTATTAAGAGCTTATTTGCCTCTTTAAATTATTTTCTATTATATATTATTGGTTTGGCACACACACAGACTGAAGTACCCTACCATAAACCACGTAATCCCTATATAATTTATGACTTGTTTATTGCTGGTGGTGGTTTTCATGGAAAAGATAAAATACGAGTAAAATTCTGTTGCGATAATCGATGCTAATCCAAATGACAACAACGTAGTTAAAACACCATTATGTTACTTAATTGTTATAATTATTTTCCCCGTTTTCTAGCAGGTGGCGGGGAAACTGTAATGTTTTTAAAAACAATGGAAATATTTTTCGATAGAAAACCCCAATTTTTACTTAAAACTTCAGTTAATAAAAATATTCCTTAAAAATCTTACATATATGGTTCTGCTGAAGACATATTTTTAAAAAATTTACGAAAGTTCTGAAAATTTGGAAAACGTTTACGGCTCCGATAAAATAGGAAAATATACTTTAAAAAAAACTATGCTTCCAATTCTGATGGTCTTCGAAATATGTTTTAAAAGTCCATGTAACTCTAAGAATCCTTGAAAATTTTCGTAAAAAATCAAAATTAATAGTTATTATTGTCTATGAAAATTTTGTTCTTAAAAAATTACATTTATGGCTTAGATAGGCCATAAAAATATTCTTTAAAAGATTCACATTTAAGGTTCAGATGACCCTTGCTCACGAGGTCCATGTAAAAATATTCTTTACTCAGGAGGTATTCATTGCTCAGGAGGTCCTTGAAAAAATGTTATTTACCGAATCTTCGTTCATTGTTCAGGAGGTCCTTGTAAAAATATTCTGTAAAAATTAACGTCCACTGGTCAGGAGGAATTATTCTTTAAAAAATCCACTTTTATAGTACTGATGGTCCTTGAAAATTGTTCTTTAAAAAATCCAAGTTAAAGCCTCTTAATGTCCTTGAAAATTATTCTTTAAAAAAACCAAGTTTATGGTTGTGATGGTCCTTTGAAAAAAATATAAAAAAAAATCCACGTTTATGGTTCTGATGGTCCTTTGAAAAAAATATTTAAAAAATCCACGTTTATGGTTCTGATGGTCCTGGGGAAAATATTTCTTTAAAAAAACACGTTTATGGCTCTGATGGTCCTTTGAAGAAAACAGTTTTTAACAGATCCAAGTTTATGGTTCTGATGGTCCTTGAAACATATTCTTTAACAATCCAGTTTAGGGCTTATATAATCCTTGAAAAATTATTCTTTAAAAAATTTACGTTTATTACTCTAGGAT